CCTTTTTGTTGCCTTCCCAGATGGAGAGCTGTCCTTCTTGGTGATGGAGCTGCTGTGGCTTGAAGGAGCTGCCCTTCTTCCGCTGCCATCTTGCAATTCTCTCCCTCCTTCTGCAGCCTGGGACCTGGCCTAGTGTTTTATACTGGATGTTAATTAGGCTTGACTATATTTAAGTTCGTTTCCCTTTATTTCTCTGGCTTTTTTTGGTGCCTTTATTTACCTTCTCTAACCTCTGCACATGAGACACCCCCTCACCGTGTATGCAACATGCAATCACTTGCTTCCAAACTGACCACAGAATAACTCATTTTACTCAAAATTACAAAGCTGATCTCTTTAGCTATATCATCTGCTCTTAGATTTGCATGTCTTTCTAGTGATTTTCATTAAATCTGCCAATATGAAACTGTATGTTCACTAAAGCAGGGATTTTGTTTCCCTGAGTGGTTTTAATTTGCATTTGAATATGATGGCTGGAAATCATAGGTAATTTAACTTGGGGACTTTTTGATCCTCTGGGTGAAGTCTCAGGTGGTTTCTTTTCTCCTAGAGGTTTTTGAAAAAGTTTGGAGAAGAGAGTCTTGAGACTATCCTAACAGACACACCCAGGATACAGTCATGAGAAGTGCACTGCAAGCCCAAAATCCTAAATCGAGAACTGAGTACAACATTCTGACCCTGAACAATTTGGATAGCTCAATATGAAACAGGAATGATATTTTAAGTGAGATTTTGGTGGTAATCTGCTCCCATAAAAGATACTCTTTTTTTTAATTCCTACTGGAAAGGAGAAAAATGACATAATTAGTCAGATTCTATAGAGTATTATATTCAAAGCTCCTTTTTCTTTGGGGAAAGCAAAGACTTGTGAATTATTTTTGATTAGCCTCATTTATAATTTTTGCATTTGATGTCACTGTTGCGAAAGCAGTGGCTTTGTATCCTTAGCATGGCACATGTATTTTGCAAATCAGAAAAGAAAAGAAAAGCAGACAAAGGAAGGTTCCACTGAAAGGATGAAAGCACTACTCCGAATATCATGTAGATAAAGAGACTGAATGAGACCATATACATTTTTCCATAGCAGACCAGGTCATGAGGCTTCTGCTCAAGGGATTTTATGTACCTATGCATGTGGAAAGGCAAATAATCTTAAAAGCCTTTGCCATATCTGCCAGAGACCTGGAAGTAAGATTGCTTCATATCTTATTTTTAACTCTAAATCTTCGTTTAGTGAGCATTTTAACTGAATGTTATCCAAAGGTATTTAGGTGTATATTCAGGCAGGAATATCTAGGTTCTGGTTTTATTCCTACTATTTTTTTCATCATATTTAGTGTCCAGCAGATGTTTAAGGGGCGCATGGGAATTTAGCAGGTATGTATAAGGCTCTGCTTATTAGGATCAGAAGGGTACCTGTAATATCATGCTAAACCAGTCTTAGAAATAACAGTCCTGCCGCTTGACACGTTTAAAAACTTCTTCAGGAGAAAAATTCTAACAAATTACTTAAAATTTGACTTTTATGCTGTAGATTTTTAGACTATTAGAAGTGGTGGTAACTGTCTGAAACTTTCCCTATAATGCACAATTTCCCTATAATGCACAAGAAGGGGATAACTAAGACAACTTTGGCTAATCTGAGTTTTTTTTAAAACAAATGACATTTTATCAGCACATAAGTGAACCACAGAGAAAAAAGTAATTGGCTAGTGCATATTTTGCATGAAAATAATAGATAAATCTCTGCGATTAATATGAACTTGTATTATAAACTCTATTATGAACTGGGCTGATTGAGTTAAGCTGCGGCCCATGACAGCTGTCAGTTCTTTTAGAACTTTATGGAGGCTATGTAGATCAGCCAAACTTCTTCCTAGAAAGTATCCTGGATAGCAGGTACTGATCCTAGATATGAAGTCTGAGGCTAGTCCAAACCCTCCCAGGGTCCACTAGGTACCCAGAACAGTGGGTCTGTGAGACATTAAATCTTCAAAGACATGGGTTGTGTTTCCTGTCCAATTCCAGTAAAGGGAGTGAACCACCAAAGAAATCACTGGACTCCTGGAATAAGGACTTCTCAACTGTCCTTGACTGAAAAGAGCTCAAGGGTTTCATATGAGATTGTCATACATCAGTTTACCCTGTGGATTATACAATGTTCTGTGCCTGTTTCAGCAACAGTATCGTCACTGACTAACAACACTAGAAAGTACAGTGAAAACCTTTTTTTCCTGATGCAGTTCAGGCAATATCACACGGATTGACCTCAGGCTCTCTGGAGCAAAGCTTTTCACACTTCATTGTCCTTTCAGCATGTAGGGAGTACTGTAGCCCACTGATATTGTCACCTGAAATGCAGCTATCTCATTCTTACTGTAGACAATTAGCCTGGAAAGGTGACATGGAAGGACAAGATGCAATAACTTTAATGAATACTTCCTCAGACAGAAGGGTTCTCAGGCCAGAAGTGATCATTATGGTAATCTATTCTGCACTGCAAAGTACAGGACACAGTATTTCATTCAGAGAATCCTACAATAAAACCAATACTTTACAACAGCTTCAACAAAATGTCAAAACTCAGAATTTCTTAAGGATATTCAACCCTCTACGTTCTGAACAAGTACGTATAAGATTCTCAAAGTGTGCTGTTAAATTCCAGCAACAGATTATCCTTTTATGTTCTAATTGAAGCTAGCATATGATGTTGGCACTTTGAATAGTAATGCCTTACATATCATTCAAGCTTGGCATAGAAAAATGCCATTCTCTTCCTTCCCATTTCAGTCAGTTTTTAGAATTTTTTTTCTTCAATAGTTAATAAATAATGTGCATACATTTAGTAAGAATTATGTTCCATACAAGTGCAGATAATAGCTAATTAAAACTATCCTTTTGCTATTCTCAGTAGTCGAGTCAGTACTTACCCACATAAGATCTGGAAGAAAGTAAGGGTGGACATTCATATTTCTGGCAGGGAGTTAGCATACCTTGTTAACATAAAGTCCCAACAAAATAAAAATATAATACATGTTATATCCATGCTTTTTATGATAGTGACTTTTTAAAAGGAGTTTCACCGATAATTATTTTATTTCAGTTAAGGAGACTTTTATCACATCTCTTATTTGAGAAGTAAGACTGTTTGTCATGGTTTGGATCTTTCCATTGCCTGAGTCATGACCACCTTCAATCTTTGGAAGAATGTTTTGAATTGAAGTTGACACTGGGGTAATTTGTCTTTACAAATATAAAAGTAACATCCTTTCCTCTTATACCAAGTATCTGCCCAGAGAACATTTGCCATTTGGGTTTTGTGGGCAGGATACAACATATGTGCAATTAATTGGCTGCTTTTATCAGAAGAATATTTAATCATAAAGGTAAAAGGCTTTTGTTCTCTGCAGAGAACAAGTCATGCTAAATGAAGCTGCCCTCTCTCTTACCACTTCATATACCATCTTAAGACGTGTATTTCCTTATTAATAGAATTGTAATTAAGGTGAGAAACCCTGAGTTTTTGAATTATCCAAGAAAGGATAATGACCTCTGTAATACTGTACTGCGTTATACTACATCTGCTCTACATTTCATATGTCATTGTCGTTCTTATCTGGACGTTTTTTATGTCTTGCACTTCCCCAGGTCTTTCAAATTACATACTTCATGGGTTATATTCTGTTAACCTCTCTATTCTCCCTACAAGTCTAATCCTAAATTTATCTACATAAATTGATACATTCTGTTGACTTGAAGCACTCTGTATTGGCCTTTCAACCCATAGCCTTCTTTTTTTTGCTAGCCTTGTTGGCCTTGAACATCCTCTTTCTTCAACTTGACTTTATAACCTTATTATCTTTCAAATCCTTCTCTTTAAATACAACATTATTTTTTTCCCTTTTTGTATTTTAAGTTTTAAATTTCTTCTGGAAACTCAATATTCAGTTTTTATTGCTGAAATTCTTGCAAAAGTAATTTTGTATTTTGCACGTTTTTATTGTTGTGCTTGGCCATCTTATTTACATCATATAATGAACTCGACTTTCAAAATGGGCACCTAAATGCTTACTCCTCAGAAAACCATGAACCTAAATAACACAGCCTCATGTTCAGAAATGCTAAAACATCTGCAATTTACTCTACTGGGCTTCAGATATTGGACTTTGTTGTTTGTATACTGAAGATTCATCTCACCAACATTCAGTTAAAAGTCATGTGTCCAGATTAAGCCAGTCATCTAACCTCCATCTGTGTTCATTAAAGAGAAGATGATTACTTCATCCTAAAATAGATAGCGACTAAGAGAAGTTGTGTCTTCTTTCCTCTAGTGAGAACAATTGGAAGACATGGTTGTTTAGCTGAAATGAGATGTTTTCTTGCTAGTTAGCAAAACTAGGTGAAAGGAATCCCATTTCTGGTGCAGAAAAAACCTCATTTCACTTAATTATAATTATTAATCTGACCTGATTTGCACACTTTGTTTTGTCTTTTTCAGAATTTCTTTTAGTCTGCCAGGGCATATTCAAATCAATATTAACATCAAAACTTCAGCTAGCATATATCACCTTCTCTCTGAAAAGCAAATATTCTTACTAAATGAGCAGAAAATTTCACAATGTATATCTATCTCAAAGTTTCGTATCTGCTCCATGAATCTTACATATAGTCAGTAATGCAAGTTTAAGAGCAGATCTTAACAGAAAAAAGTATCCTTGGCATCCCCTCTGCTGCATACAAGAGTTCAGTATCATCTGTTTCTATAGCCTGAGCATTCCTGAATAGTGATAAACAAATCCTCTGTGAAAAAAATCCATGACAGACCTTGATGATGGAAGCCTGTGTTTAACACCTCAGTCTGGCAATATCAAAAACTGCATGGAAAAGTAAATAAAGCCCTTTTTACCCAACTTTGTCTGGCTCCACTGATGCAGATGAGGCAAGTGGGTGGAACAGGAAGACTGAAGGACTGGCATTTTTGTATATATCTAAGAAAGACTAAAAAGATGGCTGGAGTTAATAACTCCTCAAAGAAAATAATGGGTCATGTTGTATATGGAGTAGTTATGGGATGTTTTGCCTTGCTCTGAAACAATATGAACTCGGACTGAATTTAAAAAAAAAAAAAAAAAAAAGTCATTTTCCCTACAACACAAAATACTTTATCTAGAGAAATGGTGGTTTTGATAGCAAATTCTCTGTGATACTCAGTGGAATACCTATTTTGGCCAACAACCTCAACATTGAAGATTAAATAATGCTGATCACCTCTCTGGAGTGATATGACAATTTATCTTAGTTAATTGGGCTTCAGTTAAGGTTGAGGGATTTAGCTTGGCCTACTGCCCATCTAGATCAGAGGAGCCAACAAAATATCATTTAAAAATAAATGTACAGGCTCCAGTTTAGCTTTTGTGGAGGTCATACATGATTTGTTTTGACTTAGCTTTAGTTTCTCATAATTTTGCTCTAAAAAATGATGTAATATTAACATTTAAACTTTCACATAGAAACTTTTAAAAGAGACACCTAGACATTTTCTGTTAGCTTTGGAAAATGACTTGAATGCTTGTAAATATCTTATATAAATAAAATAAACACTTTCCCCCTTGTTCAGAAGGAAATTTTATATATTTTCTTATTTTTAAAATGTTACCTACATTTATATATCCTTGAACATACGTTTTAATCCAAACCCTACTTCCTTCCCTCCTCTTTCCATTACTTCTCCCACTGTCTCACAACATAATAACAACAAAAGTAAAAACTAATTTGCTCTACCACTCTCTCTGTTGCTTTCAATAGTGATGTTCAAAACTTGTCAGCAGATTAAGAAACCCTTATGAAAGTGTAGGTTAGTGCTTCCCAAGATGATCTGCAAAATCCTATTGATCACAGAGGGTTTCCATCTAAGAGTTTGATGATAGAGGTTAATGATGATTTGCAGGAATTTTTGAGCAATGACAGTGATTATGATTAAGAAGTTTGGGAAGGACTGTTTGGAAAAATATGTGTAACTTAATGACTGGTCAATCTTTGTCTGTCAAAATTGTTTTGCAATGGAAAAATGGGTTTGGGAAATTACCTGAATTTGTGCTTACTGCAAGAAATTACAGCTTTGCCTTGTAGGACTTGTACTGTGGTTCTGCAGCTTCATCCAGACTCCTCTTCCAGACTTCATATCCTCTTCAGGTATTAGCAGGTTCCACTCATTGTCAGGACAGTGCTGTATCAGAAGTATCATGGCCAAAATAAAAATTGTAACTTCCCAGTCAATGTAAATAACTCTTAAAACTCAGGATCAGAGTGTCCTTCTGTAACACTGATCTGAGACACCTTTGGCTTTCTGCTGAGGAAAGTGCCCATGTATTACAGCATGTCCAGCTGGATCACTGGATTCTCAGAAGCTCTGAAGAGCCAGGCTCTTCCAGGTATGACCTGTAGAAAACAGGAGCTTAATGTTAGATGTTTAAAGCTATAAGTACTTTAAATGTTCTTATTGACTTTCAAACATTGCATTGACTTTCAAATTCATTTTTAGGTACTGAAATTAATGGTTTGATTTTCAGAATTCTTTCTTTGACCTATACTGCAGCGGCTTGTTGCTCAGCCCTTTTGAAAAATGATTTTATTTAGATCCTAAGTGTGGGTTTAAGACTCTGGGTTATTATCTTCTTTCTGGTATCAGCCTAACTCTGTGATTATATTGTCAGGTATAGGGTTGAAGAGGCATATCACACCTTTGAAGTAAAGGTGAAAGTGCTATTTTCAAAGGGAATTTAAATAATTTTTAAAAGATTCCTTGTGAGTGATTATATTGTAAGGTCACGCATTCACCTAGGCAGTTTTCTGTATATCTGTCAGAGGAAGAAGTCAAATATACAGATTGGAAAAACAGGTGTGCTTTCCCTGAGGAGTTAAAAGAGATTTAGAGAGAACAACATGATGAAACCAGGTTTTCTACTGCAGCCGAAATCCTCAGTGCTCTTGGCTTCCTAGCAACCGTGCCTTCCTAACTCATGACTGGAGACAGTACAGACATAAATCAGTCTGCCATTTGTCATATAATGGATCAATCTATTGGCATTCCTTACAAGAACTGATCTGTATCTTTTAGCAAAGATATACAATGGTAGCAGTGAGTACCAACATCATGCAAACAATATACAAAATTACATTTTTGGTTACAATTTGTCTATCCTGTCCTGTTCCCCCTCTCTCCCTTCCTCTGAAGATCTTGAACGATTCGGAGGCTATGGATAACATCTAGCATGTCAAAAATCATTCCTCAACCAAAAGACAAAATGCAAAGGGAAAAGCCCTCCTTCAGTGCACTGCTGTCCTCATCTTCCTAGCACAACTCACTGTATCACTCCCTGCTATTAATGAAGGACGATGTGCTCTCACCATCACACATAGTACATTAGAAACCCATTTTTCACCCTCTTGGTCTTAATCTCTCTCTCTCCATTCAGATTGTCCCACCCAGACAAGCAGTTAATTATGGCTAGGTTTCCAGAATAACTCTTCAGGTACAGATTTGCTGGGAGGAAACTGTACTTCTCCTACACTTACTTCAGTTTCCCTTTCACTTTACTGATGCAACACTGAACACTCCCATGGCCCTGGATATGTGGGATATTAACTTCTCTCTGATTCATGAGTACCAGAAGGTGATTTGAACTGTCTTCTCTCTCTTGTCACCTTCACAACTTCACTTTCCATCGCCTCTCTAGTCTGGTTAAGGGGAATCAAAAATCCAATCAATTTTAAGATATAATTGGATTAGTTAATTGAGATGGATTTTATGAGGAAGCAATCTAGTACATTAGACTGATGAACTGATGATAAAAAATGACTGATGTCATTTTTTTTTAAATGAAAGAAAAAAGTTATTATTGTTAAATCCACCTTGATTTTTACTGATCAAATTCTAATCTTGCATTCAGATTTCTCGTCCCCCCCATCTGCCCTTGAGAGTTCTTATCTTTTATGTGTCCTTTCTTCAGATTGTAAGATCTTCAGGTCAAGAACCTTGTCTTCATAAGTTTTTGCTTCTCCATTTTAAAATAGTCATATTTATATAGAATCATCTCCATTGCCTTTCAGATTTATGCACAATTCAAAAAGCCACACACAGATGAACAAACAAAAAATTTTTTGAGGATAAGGCAGATGTTTTCCTTTTTTTTTTCAGTTACCAGCATACAGTTTACAAAAGCTTCTTCTAACTCAGAAGTGATAAATCACCCTTGCTGATGTTAAGGAAAAAGATAAATATAAAAGTGGTCAAGTGAAGAATAACATACAGTGTGGCTTGATGTCTTCTCAGGGAAGTGGGCTTAGAGTATTAATTCTGCAACTTTACATTCTCTGTTGTTCTCTGTTCCATTCTCATGACCAAGAGAGGTAAGAGGATTTCTACTTTAGGGTGTTTAAGCTCCATCCTAATCAACCCCTTTAAGGTCTATATATCAGGCTATACAGGAGTGAATCTTGTCCATTATTAGGATTTGATAATATATTTTTGTAAGATGAATAATTTTATCTTTGCTTAGCACAGGAGTTTTAAACTCCCTGTTTTGTCGTAGAACTACTTGCAGGATGACTTCACAGCATGACAGATATGACAATTTGTCATATATGTTTAATGCTCTTGCCTCGATTTCTGTACTTTTAATTATTTTGTCTTCAAGTAGAGGACACAGTCCAAACGTATATGTACAGCTCGTACAGATAGATATCTCAATCCAATATCTTTGGAGAAACATGTTATCTGTTGGAATGGTTGGAGAAGGTCTGTAAAATAGGTATCACCATTTAATCTACAAACACCAAAGAACCAGTGTTTAACACTGAATGGTAGGAGTGGCTGTCATACTACAGAGTGCCCCAGAGTCTAGCTAGGAGGAAAATCCATGTGAACTATGCCATTGATTCATGACATGACTTAGAGCAGTGGTTCTCAACCTGTTGTCCATGGAACATCATCACATGGGGTCCATGAAGACTTAAAGCAGGGGTGGGGAATGTCCAGCTTGGAAACATTTGGTCTGTCCCACAGCAAGCACTGCGCCTCCTTTCCCCACAGATCCCTCCCATCAGTGCTTTTCTCATACTCACTCCCCCTGCCCACACCTGCCCTGACACACATGAGTGGTAGCAGTACCCTCACCTTTGCCGGGTGACTCTCCCCATAGCTCTCAGAGTCACCAGCAAGTCTCTCCGTCACCGGGCTCTTCAGGGCTGGCCTCCAGTAACAAGTGTGAGGGTGCTCTCCCAGTCCTGGTGCCACCCCTTGAGTCAGTCTAGAGTTTTAAATCTTGAAAATATCTTAGTGCCCTGCGACTACAAAAGGTATTTAAAGGGAGTCTGTGGTGAAGGAAAGGTTGAGAACACCTGGCTTAGAATATAGCAACCTGATGGACTGTTTCTCTGAGATACGATTTTTGTCTTTCATGATATTGTGTTCAAGAGATTTTATTACTTTAAAAAATTCTGGTTTTGAAGAGTCATAATGGGGAGTTTCCACTCATGGGATTAAAAAAGTTAGCTATGCAGGTAGTATCTTACTGAAGCCATGGAGACTGTTTGCGGTAAGGAGGGTTCCCCAGCAGGAGTTAATACCCTCTAAGTAGTTCCTAAATGAATAATAATTCCAAATTCTGATTAAATATCCTGCCGTTTACATTTCAGCTTTTCTATGCTATTCTGATACTGCCTATGATGTTGTAGTTTTCATGCCAGGTTTCTAATGAAAGTTTAAACTCTTTTTCTATAGAAAACAGAAAGATGTTAGTGTGAATAAAGGTCCAGATTCATTCATTACTTTTGCTTTTATTGATTTTAGAAAGAGATTTATGACCCTGATTTTTTTTTTTTTTTCTGAGTGATAAAGCTACATGTATAAAAGAATAAAGAGTAAAAAATGCCAAAAAAGTTTTCTCAAGTCATCAGTCAGAGAAAATGTGAAGCAAATTCAATCTGTTGCAATGCATCAATGTCGAAACAGAAGTCAGTTTATTCACAATTTAAATACTTTACATGAGTTTAGAGTTCCAACTAATAAATTAATATGAAAAGAATAATTGTTATTTTCATTAAAGTAACAGTGCAAAAAGTCCAAAGATTTGACATCAAGTCTGGATAGCATGTGATGCTCTAGAGAAAGATGAAAACAACCCAGCTAGCTGCAAACACTACTATCTATTGCAGAGATGACCTAAAAGGTCATCTGGAAGAAATCTGAAACCAGATAGAGACAAAAAAGGTCAAAATTTCAAATCATAACACTTATGGAACTTTTGTTAACTCCAGGTCAATACTTTGAAGGGCATTTAGTGCCTTTTAAGCCTTATACTTTGTCTTTGATCTTAATATGGTAGCTTCTTGATCAAAGCAGCATACATAAATGTAGTAATTGTAGTAGGAGCTGGTTGCAGCAGTAACTCTACACTAGTAATGGTGTTGTAAACAAATAAGGAAACAGCCCAACCTTCCTTCATTCCCTTCTGCTTTTTTCCTTCATGCCTGACATTTCTCACATCTTTCTGTATTACTTTCTCCCAAGCCTTCTTCAGGACCTCCTTTATCTCTACCTTTTCCCCACTACAAAGCAACTTTGCTTTGCCTGGGATAATGATTACAAAGACAATCACAGATATGTCATGGCATCTTTACAGGAAACATTTAAAGGGAATAGGACTCTTCAGCCTAGGTGACACATGTCTGAGGGAAGAATCTACAAGTTTACACACTTCTCTGAGTTTTTAATGGTCAAGGTGAGAAGGGATGTTCAAAATAACAAAAGGAGGGTGCATATCTATCACTGCATGTAACTGAATTGTGGAATTTCTTGCTAAAACATGTTGTATTTGCCAAAAGTTTGCATAGATTCAACAGCTGGAAGAAAAAAACAAAACCCCCTAACCATTAAGGGTTATTTTATATAAAAACAATACCTTTGTCTTAAAGTTTGTGAGTTGCAAATTATTGGAACCTGAGAGATTCCTATTCCCAAGACATTCATTTGTGACAACTGTCAGAAAAACGTTAAGATATGACATAACCTGGAGACAAGATGGCTTCAGGGGCACCCAAAAGCAGCCACTTGTACCTGCAGTGAGGTTATGGAGAAGATGGAACCGGGCTCTTCACAGTGGTGCATGGTGGGAGGATGAGAGACAACAAGCACAACATGAAACAAGAGGGGTTTCAACTGAATAAATAATAGACAACTGGATAAAAGGAATGCCATTTCCAATAGCTATAATAATTCTGATTGGTTCTCTTTTTTCTTAATTAAGTTCTGACAAGTCATTTAGGAAGGTCAGTTGTCACCAATATTAATAAAGTCAAGATCATCACACCTGCAATGTTGCAGTTAGCTGGATGCCTCTGTGTTGTGATAGAACGATAGTTCATCCTAGCACTAGGCTGTCTAAAAATCTGAGGAAAAAAAAAAAAAAAAAAAGGAATAGAGCTCGATCATAAATCAAGTGGATTTGGAAGCTATGCTATCCAGAGCTGGACTCTGTTCATCTGACCTGCTGTCTGTAAATCTGCTGTCTGTTTCAAAACGTCTGTTTTAGAAAAAGCACAACTAAATCATATACACTGTGACCACTGAAAACAAGCAAAAAAACCCTACTCATGTATTTGAAGGTAAGATTTAATTTTAAAAGGATCAAGTTTAACAGCTGAACTAAAAACCTAAAAAATACCTTTAAAAAGTCATTAAGTTGGGAATAATAAAAGTTAAGGTCTAACATGTCCAGAATGAATATTTTTACCAGAGTAGTAGTCCGGTTATTATTTATTTATAAGTCTGCAGTACATGCAGTTTTCTAAATATTTCCAAAACAGAAATAAATCATAATATGGGAATTAGAAGACTAAAATGTATTTATGAAAAACAAAACAGAACAACAAAACTATGAAAAAAATTATAGATTGGGAGAAAGAATAGATGAACCAAAGTGATTTGGAGACTGAGAAGCACAAACTGAAGTGTTTTTGCAAAAAGCACTGGAAATGTGAACTGGCAGAAGGAAGTAAAACTCTGATTTAAAAGGAATATAACAGCCATACCATCCAAAGTCAGTGTTATTTCCTTATCTAGGGAATTACATCAGATGCTTTATCACATACTCCACTTTACTGAATCCAAAAGGGAACTTTCAAATCACCACATGGCAGTTTTGGGGTGAGCAGGGGATGAAGAAGAGAGGAGAATTCACAATTTTGCCCTACTTCTCTGAATTTAACCACTCAAGATCAGTTCTCTGATGCAAACTGTTTACTGATACAGTAACATTATGCAAAGACCAGGGTGAACTTTCAGCTGTGTTGCTTAGCATCTGATAGGTTACATTTTTCAGATCATGCCCATTCCCAGAATTTGTGGCCATCAAGGAAAGCTGACACACTTACACGAGCCCCCTCTCATCATGAGAGACTTGCAGAAATGAAAGGATATGAGAAAACCAGTGGCAAATATCATGGAGCACCACTTTGCTGTTGTTAACTCAGGTAGTCTAAGGAAGAATGATGGCAATCACCATGTCTGACTAGAACCATGCTGGCCAGTGAATTCAACCCAATAATCTTTTCACTGAACTGAGTGAATAAATTTAGGGAATGCTAGACAGCTTTAGAAGTAAAACAGAACAGATCTTGGAAGAGGTGTCCAGACCTTAGAAAAGTGGGACTTTATCCTTATTCAGATTCACACTCTGTGAAAGATGGATGTGGGTGTTTAGTTTCTGAATCCAGGTCAATTTACCACTGAGGGATATGGTGTAGTTGGGAACTGTCAGTGTTAGGTCAATGGTTGGATTGGATGATCTTCAAGGTCTTTTCCAACCTAGAGGATTCTGTGATTCTGTGAACTCGTGAACACTTCTCCTTTACCCTTTCTACTCTACATTGCCCTTCTCTAGGCAGAATGAAATTACAGTAGCTCATCTTTGGCAAATTGCATACAGGGCTTGTAATTAGAAGAAAACTTCTGAACTCAAGATTGCTTCAAACCTCTCAAGCATTTTATGAGGTACTTAAAATGAGATTAAAGTAATCATCATCAATATGCCATTTTAATCTCTAAGAAAAATGGTTCATGTTGTCAGTTTGATAACTATTCCAGTTGTTCAAGACTGCTCAGATTTAAATATATCCTTAGGAGCCACAAGCTCTTGCACATTTAGATGCAGGTCTTTTTTGCCAAGGAAACATCATTATTGTCACTTATAATAAAGCATTGATGGCCATTTGCAATATGTTTTATCCTCAAATATCAGAGTAATAACAGCACAATTTTCTTACTGATGAGCAACAAATGGTTGTACATGAAATTTTAATTTAGTTGAGACTAAAGTTTTGTAGGAGAAACTAAAACTAATTAAGTTTCTAACTATAAAATGTGGGTAGATATGTGGATTTAGATATATCCTATTTTTCCCCCTTTTTAAAAATTATTCCCATTATGCATTACTAATGGTATTGCACAGATGTTCCAGGCAAGACTGGAAGCTCATCATGCTAGGGATTATATGAACACATGAAAATTAGTTACTACCACAGAGACAGGGTCAGCTGTATCCAAGGAAAAAGCCTGGGTTCAGCAGTCAGTTCTGAGGGGTTGTTGCATGGCTATGATTTTGCTGCATGGAAATAACACTTAACCATCTACTGCTGAATTTGTTTTTTCTGAAATGGTGACATATCCCTTGAGGACAGATAGTAGACGAGGCTGTGAAACTGATAAATGCTATATATGAGTTCAATCTGGTTGATAAAAAGGAGACGGTCTCAACTGAGACAAAAGTAATACCTCATGAAAAAGCTTAAGCTTAATTAGACCTAGTAGTAAGACACCATCAATGGATGTTGAGCATTTCAAATACAGTTTCACAGGAAAATTTCTGATAACTCTGTGTAAAGACTGCTTGAAAGACCACAGTCACAATCTCATTTTCCACTCCACCTCTGCTAAAGGAAGGGAGAGTTCTGTTTGCTGTAGTTGGAAAGAGTCAGATGTCACCTGTTCTCAGTTGATTTATCGAGTTGATTTATCAAACGTGAAATGAGACTGCGCAATCTTGATGTTCCAATTAAACGCTATCAAGCACCTAGCCCAGTTCCTCTGATGGGCTACCTTAGATCCAGGGCACTCTTTCATTTTGCAGAGAATTTCAAACTGTCTCATGTTACAGATCAGAAATGCCACAAGATATTGAAATCCTTAATGAGGCTACCATTTTCTGTCCAACACTGCTTTTTGCTCTATGTATCCTGGCTGTTATCCAACAAGATAATTCCTTAGATCGGAAAATCCTGTGCCAACTGGATTCACCAAGTCCATAGCCTCCTTGTACTATGAGAGTGGCACAGCAGGCCTCTAAGACTGGTCACAAACTGGCCTTGAATCGCCAAGCAAAAGAGCAGGGCACTTCCCTGCAGGACTTTTTTTTTTTTTGACAGATAGTGATAAAAGTCAGCACTTGACCATTGACAGTCATTGCCATTTATTTTTATCAGAAAGGAACTTTTGAGGACTAGATAATTCTAGAAAAACTTTATTTTGAAACAACTGTTAAAGTAACTCCTGGTGTCATGGTATCAGAGAAGAAATGGTGGCCAAAGATACCAAGCTTTTCTCTTCTTAGCACAGGACTATGCAATGTTGAATCCAGCTTTGTTTTGGGAAAGTGGTTGTATGACTGTATGTGCTGCCACACCTGCCAATGCCATAGCTGTGTGACCTCCAGGCACTCCTGCTAATTCTTCACCTATTCTTGAGGGTCCACTGTAGAATAATTTTAAATAAGCACACCAAACTCTTTGGTTAACACTGTCTGTCAACAAGCAGGTGTTTTGCAAGCAATTTCATAAAAGTGTCATTGTCACATTGTGCATTAATGATCCATACAATCACTTCTGACACAGGACACATGTCAAGTCACAAAATGAACCGATTTCCATAAGCAGCTTGTGGGACCAGTATGTTCAAAACCTAACTAAATTTCTGAAATTTGGAATATGTGGCTGCACTATCATTCTCAAGGTTTGTTATTTTGTTCATTTATATACATATTCTAACTAGAACTAAAACTAGACTAAAAATTGTATGGGAGAAAGGTGATTGCACCATACCTGCATGTCCAGGGAAACAGAAAACTCTGTAGAAGGAAGGAAAGTCTATGCGCAGTACCATGACTCATACTCATCTGTAGACTCCAAAAACGGGAATTATTGAAGAGTCCTTTGTACCAAGACTATTGGAAAAGTCTTAATTACTAGCCACTTATTGAAAGCTTGAATATCAAAGAAGAAAAGAAAATACTTAGCAGTGTTGTGTGGGTCATTTTAAGTGACTGTCTATTCTCCAGGACTGTCGTGGTTTAACCCCAGCAGGCAAGTAAGCACCACACAGTCACTTTCTCACTCCCCGTCTGGTGGGATCAGGGAGAGATTCAGAAGGGTAAAAGTGAGAAAATGTGTGGGTTGAGATAGAGACAGCTTAAAAGGTAAAGCAAAAGTCATGCACACAAGCAAAGCAAAACAAGGAATTCATTCACCACTTCCCATTGGCAGGCAGGTGTTCAGCCATCTCCAGGGAAACAGGGCTCCATCATATGTAACAGTTACTTGGGAAGACAAACACCATCACTCTGAACTTTTCCCCTTTCCTGCTTCTTCCCCCAGCTCTATATGTTGAACATGATGCCATATGGTCTGGGATATCCCTTTTGTCAGTTGGGGTCAGCTGTCCTGGCTGTGTCCCCTCCCAACTTCTTGTGCACCCCCAGCCTCCTCACTGGTGGGGTGGGGTGAGGAAGCAGAAAAGGCCTTGACTCTATGTAAGGACTGCTCAGCAGTAACAAAAACATCCCTGTGCTGTCTTCAGTACAAATCCAAAACGTAGTCCCATACTAGCTACTATGAAGAAAATTAACTTTATTCCAGCTGAAACCAAACAAGGAGGCAACATATGTGTCCAACAAGTATTAATGTAAATAGAAAACAGGTATAGAAAAAAGGTCAATGAATAATTGTTTTGTACATACACAGTGATCCTGGACACCAAGGCTTCTTGTCCAAGCCCAAATTAATCATACTGTGAACATGCATGAAGTAATTTCCTATGGTAGGACTGACCCCCAAGGACCATGGTCCTTTTCTAGTCCTACAAGAAGGTAGGAAAGTTATTTAGCCAGAATAGTTTCCATTTAGGCCACTTTCCTCTGTCGATCATTGGTAAACTGGGACACAGAAGCTGGGGAACCCATATGGTGTTTTTTTGCCTGGGATTACTTTACTAATCTTCAGCAACTTGTGCCTCAAACATTTCTTGTCTATAGGTAAAGCGTTTGTGTCTAAGCTAGAGGTAATGTCTCTTCTGTCCTGCATCCTTGCTAAGTGGATCATTACACACACCCTGCTTCTGTGTCCTAAACATAAGCTTTGAGTTTGTTTGGTGTTCTGAAAAAATACATAATTAGGCTAAATTTAGAAATTCTCCTTGCTTTTCATGACTGAAAGATGAAGTGGTGGCTATCTTAAAGCTCTGCTTTGTGAGCTGCATGAAACAGTCTGTTCCTGGGAAAATAAAATGCACTGAAAGACTCAAGTATGCTGCATTCAGCTGAGGATGGGATGAGGGGTGGGGACTTGTAGCAGATCTGAAGGAGCACTCTGGCATTTTCTGTTTCATTCTTGCCTTTCAACACTGCAAAATATTTATTTGATGTCATTATTCCATGGAGGAAGATGGGCTTGGATAAGGGGTGGAGACCTATATCATATCTGAAGGAGCATTCTGGTGTTTTCTCTTTCTGTCCTTCCCTTTCAACACTGGAAAATATTCTCTTAATATTATTCCTCTGTGGAGGACATGATCAAGCCTTTTTGGAGAAACAGTATTCATTGGTTTTCACTATTCTATTGAGTCCACTGTCATACAAGGAATCTTGTGCTGATTCCCTTGCTCTTCTACAAGAACGTGGCCTATCTTATTTTTACTGTTGATGGACTTTTCAAGTAAAATTGTCTTGTTTGCCCAAAACAAAGACATATTGCTTGACATGGCTAGTGCCCACAACTATTTTTTATCAATAACTTGTTCCTTCTTGTTTATTTTTGCTTCTTCTGTTTTTTTCCCCTAATTCTGTTTATACAATGAGCTGCTCTATGGGCTCGCTGATCACTGGACACTGATTTAAACCAGTAGTTTAAATCATGCAGCAAATCTTGCAGTAGAGTTTGAAATACATTTAAACTGGGTTTTGATGTATGTAAAGCCGCTGCTACATCAGATTCTTCCTAGACTCTCTGGTCAAGTTAATGAGAAAGGGAAAGTTTGTCAGGATTTTAAGTGAGAAGTTTTTAAAAGTTCATTTTGTTATTAAGCCATAGTTTCTAAAGGTAATGTTCAATGACTATCACTATTTCATCAAAAAGTCACATAACATAAAGAATATTCAGTTGAAAGTTCTGAATACAAAACTGATGAGCTTCCAGTGAGTTATCCCAAAGAGATGGAAGTGAAGAAGAAAACAATTTTTTCTTATATTTACTGATATCTATCCAACAGCTATAGAGCAAGACTGAAATGATAATCAACCTCATAATGTATATTTCAGAAGGTTTCTTGTGCACCTTGGCACAGAAGTCTTATGTATAGAAGCCTGGTATATTTTTTTATTGAATCCAGCACCAGGTGTTCTCATATAATTAAGTGGGAAATGTTGCAACACTTACAGCATATTCTGTCTTAAATCTTACTGTTTCAAAGCTCTCAGAGCTAGTCTTGTTAGACCAGCTTTCACAACTTATTAATGTCATTCAAAAATAATGAGCATATTGAATTTCTGTTATAAAATGTGAATAAAGTAGAAATAGGCAGGACTTCTAATACTGATGCAACTCCTTTGTCATCAGATACATTGCTTATGTTCTCTTTTCATATGGGATATAGAAGTGATTTATAATCCAATAACCATGGAGGAAGAACTGTACATTTTAGGTACCTCCAATCCTCATTTTTTCATATAGGAATCATCTCTAAATTCTGCAATACAATGCAAGTACTTTCATGTGCAAAAGTGTTTACAGAATCCATAATAAAGGTGTGTAGACATGGAAGATAAATGAGAAAATAATTATTTGACTGTTTCTCAAAATGACATTCGGAGATCAGTTATTTCTTCATGTGATTTTACAGTATAGCACTAGACATGAGAAAACTAAATTGAGCAATATCATCCCTGACAGGAAACAATGAAACAAGCAAACTTCATTTCCAGAAGCACATGTGAAAGAGAAGTTCAGAATAAGAAATGAACAAATTCATCTTTGATCTCACAAGTCATGTAAAGTCAAATGACCTATACCAGGAATAGATCCCAACTAATAAGGATTGTAATAATGCATAGTTACATATTAGAATATAATATTCTTCCACTCTGTAAAAAAAAAAAAAACTAAAATAGGGAACAATAATATATTCTATAGAAGCTGAATTAGCTTATTGTGATGTACTAAAAAATTACTGGAGAAGAATAGAATCAATGTTCAAATGCATGAAGTGTAACAAATGCATGATGTGTAACAAATTAGTAAAATTTATGGAACTTTCTCACACGTACACATCAGCCTAGATGACAGGATCTTCAGATGCTAACTTCTGTTCTTGTCTGGCTGCAGCTTGGCCACCGACATGGTCAGAGGCAAGGCAGAATCCACAGTGATCCCCAGACAAGAGGAAATTTCCTCTGTGTGAGAGACGAGAAACCAGGCCTGTGAGAAACTAAGACAAACAGCCTGGGAAAGCAAAAGTTGAGGCTGATTGAAGAGTTGCCTCAAACACTCGCAAGACAAAACTATGAGTCACAGGGTGCTTTCTGTGGAGGCCAAAGCTGATAACACTGCCCAATGTGGCTGGGGAAGAGAGCCCTGTGGAGACAGGATGGCTCTGCCCTGGGGCACCTGGGCAAATTTCAAGGGCCATGTGTCTGGTGAATGAACTTTGCTTCATTATCCATGAAATGTATATTAAAAGTTAACACCCCTCAATATGCTAACAAGGGCTGACATGATCATGCTAATTACATCATCCCATGAAACACCTTACCCCTCCCCGTACATGGGATATGTAGCTATGTGGGTCGACCTAGGGGACAGACCCAAGGAAAGTGGGTATAAATCAAAGGGGGGAAGAAAGGGTGCTATCTCTCTCTCTCTCTCTCTTCCCCTCTTCCTGCCTCCCTCTGCCCCCCCGGCTGTCTGGAGAGAGCAGTGAAGTGAAGAAGATGGATGCCAGCGAAAAAGACGACTGCCTCCTGGAACCGTCGCTGGCGGGATCAGTGCAGGAATCCAGACCGGTGATCTGTATTCCCCCATTCCCTCTATCTCCCTCTTTTCCTTTTTCCATTAAGAAATGCAAACCATATTGTATTGCTTGCCACAACTTGCTATATACTTAGCCAATTATCATGTGTTCAATTAGTACATTGTGCGTAGTTAATAAATGCTTGGACTTGGAGACTTGTTGTCTGCTCCAATTGGGGATTTGCGAATCCGAGTCACTTGTTCCCCTCATCTGAGCAGGACGTGACACTCGGCAGGCTACCTATTTCCACAACAGCCTAGCTGCTTTCCAGTCCCATCACTTTATGTTGCAAAAGTGGTGAATAAGGGAAAAGGGAAAGGAATGAAGCCCACAATGGGGACTCCAGCATTTGTACTTAAGATGTGTTTAACACCTTTATTCTCCCCTCCCCCGCAAAATATTAGCCAGGCATTATGTCTGCATCATTGGTAGATATTACTTTCATTTCATTCCGCTTTTTACTGTTCCCTGGGGTTGATTCTTTGCCTACTCATTTACAGTCTGTCTTCTTTTCTTCTTCCTCTTGTCTGTTTCTCCCTTCTCCCATCATTCCTTTCCCAAATTTCAGTGATCTCCCCTATAGTTCTTACACTTTTTTCTCACTCATGCTCCTTTTTTTCACTCTTCAGCATCCCCCACTTTGAAAGCATGCTTCTTCTATTAGTACATTAACTGACTCTCCAGCCTCTCTAATACTGAATTCCAACTGCTACCCTCTTGTACCTTATCTAAAAGGGAAATAACACCACCACCACCACAGGCTTTGAAGAGAAATTATTGAAATGCACTGCACTTAGAAAATTCACATTTGATCTAACAGTAAATTTATATGTAATTCAGCAGTTAACTTACAATAACATGACTCAGAAGAGAAAATCATGCAGTAAAACATTGCATTGAATGGAGAATGATTCAGTGAAAACATTATTCAGGGTAAGCAATTACTGAGTGAAGATATTATCCACAGCAGACAATTGCTCAGTAAAAATATTATACAGTGCAGGCAAATATTCAAGCAAACATTTGACAAGGACAGCAATTATTCAATAAACAATCATAATTGCACCCAATGGAGCACACTTGCTATAAACAGTACAAATAATTAGCAGACTCCAAGGATGTAACTGTGACTACTTGACTTCTAGCTAATTTACATGGTAGCTAAGCTCTACAGGACAATCTGAATCTGTCAGTGAGGAACGACTTGTTTTTCCTTTTGTCTCTTCAGTTCTAAGAAGTAATATCACAGTTGTATCAATTTTAATAAAGAAGCAAGTGTAACTTCATCCGTTTTCTGGAGTTAGTCAGTTATCCTTTTCCAGAAATGAGCATTACTCACATGATCCCTTGTTTCAATTGCTTTCTTTGCTTTCTACCTCACTTTCTCAATAGCTCTCAGAACTTTTTTTTTTTATTTTGCTTTTCTATCCCCTGCAGTCAGTTTATTTTTCTAATTTCTCCAGTTTTCTGTTTTCAAAACAATTTATTTTTCTTCTTGCCTAAAGACTTTACACATATTCTATTTCTATTTGTAATAAAGCTCCCACTTCTTTCAGTCTCTCAGCAGAAGGAGGCAGCTCTCATTCTCCTTTGGTCCAGAATTACCACTTCTCCTTTTGCTTCACTAACTAGATCAATTATTCTTCTTATGCTGTTCATCTTAAGCACCTCTATTTCCTCTTTTAGACATTCTCAAACCCTTAACTGTTTTCTTTTGATTTAATCCAGGCATTCATTATTTGCTTTCACCAGCATCCATTGTAGCTTCACAAAATACTTCCTTTGTTTGAAAATCTTATAATTTTTATGATTGCTTGGGTGAATGTATAGTTTTGTATTTCTCATCTTGCTCCATTGCTTAATGAGAGATTTTTAAGCAATCCATCTCATCAAATTATGGAATATTCTGTTGCTGAGTTATTTTTGTCCATGAAGATGCTAAATCCTTTCAGCACAGTTTGGTTTTCTAAGCATCTATATTTAGACATACATACCAAAAATGACTTGTACAAAAAAAGAAGTAACAGGACAGTTGTTGGGATCCTGTAACTAGAGTAGCCATATTAATATAATCACACTGACTTCTGTGTTGTAGATTAGGTTGAGTGATGTCAGAATCAAGGTTCTCCAATTTAACTACATCACTAAACAAGTATAAGTATTCTGCTCTTACTTTTAAAGAGAAACTGGCAGCACACTCCAAAGGTATTACTGTATTGAAACAGCAAGGCCAGCAGAATTTAATTATAATATGGTAAAGTAACAAACTATACTAAAAAAGGCACGTGTATTTGTTCAGAAAGTGTCTGCATAGGGATTTACATCACCATAGCTACGTGATGTACTTTTCCCACTAGAGTTCTGCTGGTTGATTTTCCCGTGAAGATAGTCTTTAAATGACGGAACATTAGAAGTGGTATGGGAGCGGTCCTCGAAGTGATAAAAATTCTTCCTTCATTAAAATGTAAAGTTATTAAAGTCTCAAGGAAATCTATGCATTGGAAATGGACTTTTTTAATTTGAATACACCAAGTATTTTCTACCTGTCTCTCTGAGCCTGAGCCCAGCCAAGCAACATCAGAAAATTCTCTTTGACATTTCTTGATTATAATTTGAAATCAAACTGTTTTTAATCAAGTAAGAAGAATTATTTATCATTTTATTAATTACCTTACATACATTTCCAGTCTTAAAATTTCAGAAATGGAGAACAACCAAAGTCATACTACATCTCCCTTACTACCTCTATCATCCTTCTTTCAGCCCAACTTTCCCAAACACTTGCTTGAACCCTATTATCAAAGGAGCTTCAAAAAGGTGAGAAGATTTTTGGGGCCTTATTTATTCCTATATAGCTACAAATCAGGACCAAATTAATACAAAGAAAAGAAAACAGAAAGAAAATATGAGACAACTTAAATGTAAAGAAAGTAAAATACAGAATCTGTATTTTGTTCACTCTGCACGAGCCACGATCACAGGCTTCAACAAATTAATTGCCCCAAACATCTTTTTTTTTCCTCTATTTATTTATTTAATATTTCTTGGAACTCCTCGTATTTCTACTTGTCTGGGATCTTTGTAATCAAATTTGTTACAGGTCTTTACTCACATAAGTCAATTATCTTTAATGTATTTACACTGCTGTAAAGTTATATGCAATCCTAAAAAATTATTTTCAGAAGCTCCTTCTGCACTGGTGATTCTCTGACCTTTTTCTAACTGTAAGGAACAAAGGAAAATTTGTTAAGAAACTTCACTAGTTTTAGTGTCAAGTAAACCAGAAGCCAGATCTGAGTCACTTCTTCCAGTGAGAATCATTCACACCCCATTAAACAGCTACAAGTTGTAGAGTTTGAATCTGACCCCTGATTCACACACCCCATTCATTAGCAAGTGATGTCTCTTTCTTTTCCTTTGGGAAAGGGACTTTATTTTAAACCTTCAGGAGATGGGAATCACATAGAAATTATAATAAAATATACTTGTTCAGTCTTATATTACTTCTCAGCTGATGACTCACAATAAAATATCTCAAAATGTAAGCCAGAAGAGGGTTGGGTTGTCCTGTGTTACAACCTAAGTTTCTGCTAAACTGCTTACAAATATTGCTGATGTCTCTCAGAAAGTATAGATTATAGACAGTATAAGACTGTTTTTCACAGTTAAAGCAATTTCTGCTTGTCTGATTACACTCTCACTCATTTTTTGTGCCCATGTCTTAGGATAAGTACCTGTAGGTACTTGGATACGGTGAGATCATAACTGCACTGGGGTAAAACTACCTGGCTGAAGTACTAGACTGAGACCCAAGAGACAGTTGATACAGCTTCAGTTTAATCAAAATTTTTTCCTCTCACCTTGAACTGATCATATAGGAGTAATGTCAGGGAAACATTTTTGTAGCAGGGATCTAATAAAGCCCTTAATCCGAAGACCATTCATTTTTAGAAAAGATGAGTTCAGATGAGGAGACCCTCAGGGTGAGTAAGGTCAGTCTTATGAGAAAAGACAAAAAAGAAATTGGCTTGTTTAGCTAGCTAAAAGAAAGATGATGTGGGATCTTTACCTGTGTACATATACACAGGTATGCAGAGCTGGGGGTGGGGCAGGAGAAAGAAATTAGGAAGGAAGGAAAACTATTGATGTTAAAGGACAAATTTAATTCAAGACCAATGGATCTGAAGTAATAATGTCTACAATTAAACTAACAGTATACCACAAACTCTCACAGGAGCAGGTCTGCTTTCTGTTAGGAGCTGTGTACAGAAAAATCCCAAAGATGTGATAAAACTGTGGTTATTTGTGGCAGCCCAGACCAAGACTTGATTGTGCAGGGTCTCCACTATGCTAGTTTGTTTAAATATAAACAAATACACGTAAGTGTTATACCATCCTCTTTCACAGTATCCTTTTTGTCTGAACTAAAAGATAGCAACAAGAATCTGTCAGCTTTCTTATTTATCATGTTCTGCTTCTGCCTCAAAGTTCCCCTAATTTCTCACTACCATGACAATCTTCTCTGCTTTCTCTTTGCTCATATTTGCATGGGTGACAGTTGCCGACTATAGTTATGGTCCTTTCAGTGCCCTGTCTTTGTGGTAGCCTGACTTTGTCTCTGTTTCTGTCATGTTCTGATTTGCATTCTTTCCCCTTAAATAGCAAATGTTTGCAGTGCTCAAATTGTATCACTGACCTTCCTTCCTGTTACAAAAACCTTGTTATTTAAGAAATATAAGAATTTATTCAACAGAGAAAAGAATAATATGGAGTAAGGATGTGTGCTGACATTTCAACTCCTCTGAGCTTTTCTGGAAACTCATAGTGACAATATACACCTGCAGTTCTCTGGCAGGCTGATCTTTTTCTTTGTTTCTTTGTCAACTGGGGAATGCCTTTGGCACCTGTGGGCTGACACCCCCCGCAACCTAGATCTAACTTTGCTGTCTTCAGTGAAGCCCTGTTAAAGCAGCCACCAGCCCAGCCCAGTGCCTTAAAACTGTACTCAGAACCTGAGAGACAGGCAAGAAAATATTCAAATAGGCTTTAGAATCTGTTGGAGACAGTTGACCCTCAA